TTCCCTTTCCATGTGTTTACCCTCAACCCAGAAATGCAACTGAATACCCAACTCATAAGATAGCTTGTTTTCCTTTCTTTTCCTTCCTTCTTCACTCCCTCTCTTTCTCCTTTCTTTCTTTCTTTCTTTCTTTCTTTCTTTCTTTCTTTCTTTCTTTCTTTCTTTCTTTCTTTCTTTCTTTCTTTCTTTCTTTCTTTCTTCCTTCCTTCCTTCCTTCCTTCCATTTCTCCCTCCTTCCCTTCCTGAGGCTTGTACTCAGGGCCGGGGAAATGTTCATTAGCTTTTTGGCAAACATGTAGCACTCTACCACTTGAGCCACACTCCCATTTCTGGCTTTTTGGTGGTTAATTGGAGATAAGAGTCTCAGGGACTTTCGTTCCTGGGCTGGATTCAAATCTCCATCCTCAGATCTCAGACTCCTGAGAAGCTAAGATTACAGGCCTGAGCCACCAACGCTTGTTTTCTATCCTCCTTTTTTTGAGAGGATCAGTGTTGGCAGTGTTGGTCAGTGGTAACAGAACTAGCCTAGTGTTTTGTGTCTCTGAGTTCAGTTCCCAGTACTGCAAAAAATCAACTAACCAACAACAACAAAAATGCCAATAACAGTTGCCTGATTTCCTTGGACCTGCTGCTGTGTTTTCTTTGTATTTCATTCATTATTACAGACTCCATGGCAGGGACAGGAACTGTCCGTGGGTGAGGGAGGCTCCTCTTAGACTCTGTGGCTGCCAGGGAAGGACAAGGATCCAGGGTAGATGTTCACTGGGGCTCCAGAGGCTGCAACAAGGACTGGCAGGAAGGGTTTGGGGAACTTGAGAAGGTGGATTCGAAGTCTAGAACCGCCAAGAGCTCCTGAGAGTCCTTTTCCAGACTCCAGTCTCACTTGGACAGTTGATTAGAAGGCCCAACTACCTCATCTCACAGTTGTCCTCCAGTTCCTTTTAAATTTGGCTTAGTGGTAGAGTGCTTGCTTTGCATGCATGAAGCCCTGGGTTCAATCCCTCAGAACCACATAAATAGAAAAGGCCAGAAGGGGCAATGTGGATCAAGTGTTAGAGTGCTAGCCTTGAGCACAGAGAGGCTCAGGGATAGTACCTAGGCTCTGAGTTCAAGCCCCAGGACTGGCAAAAAAAAAATTGTATGGGAGTGCAAATGGGGCTAAAGAATGGAACTTGGTTGGTTCTCTTCTAGATATTATTCCTTAAGCAGCTCCTTGGTGACTACAAACAACACTTACATAAGCATTTGTAAGCATTTTATTTATGTGGATGAGTTTCCTCCTTACCACAACTTTAGCAGTATTATTAATAACCTTGTTCCCCAGATCAGGAAACCATGATAAGGAAGTAAAGCTGGGATTTATTTATTTATTTTTATGCTGGTCTTGAAGTTTGAAGTCAGGCCTGGGGTGCTATCCCTGATTGTTTTTTGCTCAAGGCTAGTGCTCTACCACTTGAGCCACAGCTCCACTCCCAGCTTTTTTTGGTAATTTGTTGGAGATAAGAGTCTCATATATTTTCCTGCCCAGCTGGCTTTGAACCATGATCCTCAGATCTCAGTCTCCTGGGTAGCTAGGATTACAGGCGTGAACCCTCAGTGCCTGGCTGGAGCTGGGATTTGAACCAGGTTGTCTGGCTGCAGACTCTGAGCTCCTCAGCACCACACTTAACATTCCGGGCACTGTGCTAAGTGTTTACCCCAATCGTCTTCATTTTGTTCTTGAGAAATCTGAGCCTCAGAGCAGTTGAGCAACAGCTGAAGGTCACACAGCTGGGGAGCAGCAGAGTTGAGATTTTAAAGTCAGCCAGGCTCCAGAGTCTCTGCTCTCCCCACTCCCTGGCCAGGAGCTCTTATGGCCAGTTTAAGTCATCTTTCCATGTTGTGCTGTCCCCTGTGCTGAGCCAGTTCCTTCCTCTAAACTTCAGGATGGCGGGGGTCCGCCCTGATCCCTGAGGTCCGTGGTAGCTGTGTGAGTCTGTGTGATGGGAGACGTATTGGTGTGGCTAGCTGGCAGAGAGTAGCTTTGTGGCCTGGGCTTGGCCTGTGACTGCAGACAGGGAGGAAGGAGGGGACAAAGGACCGGCAATGGAATGAAGGGGAAACTTGTGGAAAGTATAGAGGGGCTGGGCGTGGGGGGAATGAACCCCGAATAATGGAGCAGTTGTATCTGAAGAAGCTAAGGAAAGAGGAGGAGAAAAGCTCCAGTGAGATTCCCTGAGGGGTAGGGGTGGGGTGGGAGGGAGGGCACCCTTTCCTTCTTCCTGGGGGTCACCTCTAAAGCTCAAGATAGACAGGCACGTGAGAGCACTGGACAAGGAGGCCAGGGGTCAGGCCACTGTGGAACTGAGCTTGGAACTTGGAGGCACAGCAGTTTGGGGAATTAGCATTGCTGGGGGTTGTTGTATTGTCTCTGTAAATATTTAGAGAGTCCAGTTATTCTAGAAAAATGTATTAGAAGCCAGGGTGGCGTGTTCGTGTGGTTGGCCTGGCTTCCTTTTCCATGACTGCTTTGTGGCTTTGTTATATTCCCCCTGCCCGCCCCCCCCCCCCCCTTCCCCCTGGCTCCCACTGGCTCCTCACAGGAATGGAGGCTTGTTTTCCCATCTGTAACCTCATTAGGACATGACAACCCCCCCATCCCGTCCCCCACAAGGTTGGGCAGGTTCCCTTTGGGGACACACGTGCGTGCAGCGGTATTGTTTCTTCGAGCCCAGCTGCACCTTTTAATATTTAATGCCATTGACGCAGGCTGCCCACACTCGGAGCCAGGCTCATTCCTTCCAGGGTGTCGGCTCCCAGCACCGAGGCTGCCTTTCCAGACTGATTTCATCCCACAGAGGCGGGGATGTCTTAGGGTTATGAGATTAAAGAATGAGGCTCATTACCAGGCAGAATCCATTTTTAATAAGGCTCTGCTTTTTTTTTTTTTTTTTGCTTGGGGCTTGAACTCCAGGCCTTGTTTGGCTTCCTCCCGCCCCCTCCCAGTTGAGGCTGATGCTTTACCACTTGAGCCATAAACTCTACTTCCTAGCTTTTGGGTGGTTAATTGGCCTTAATAAATGTCCCTCTGATTTGTCTACCTGGGCTGGCTTGGAATTGTGCTCTTCAGAGCTCAGGCTCTTAAGTAGCTAGCATTGCAGGTGTGAACCATCTGGATCCAGCTTTGTGTGTGCATATCTCAGCCCTCCCTCCTCTCTGTACTCATTGCCCAGGCTCAGAGTGACTTCGATGCCAAAACCGCAGGTGCCCCTCACAGGCTGAACTAACCTCTCTCTCTGGCTAGGAGTAATCAGGGTTCCGAGTGGGCATCAGAGACATGGATCCCTGGCCTGGGGGGAGGGGGGAGCAGGAAGAGCAGCATTTGGTCCTGGCTCCGTGTTATCCCACAATGGCATTGGCATTGCTGTGGTCCATTCTACATTCATATGTTGGACTTTAAACCCCAATGTGATGGTGTTCGAGGGTGGAGCCTTCTGGGGAGATAATTAGGCCATGGGGCCTCCACCCTCATGAATGGGATGGATGCCCTTATGACCAGCTTCCAGATGTTGTGGGAAACATGTTCCTATTGTTTATCCATTACCCGGTGTGGTAATTTTGTGATAGCAGCAGGAATGGGCCAAGACTTAAGCCTTGGAGACCACAGTTACTAGGGTCTTTAGGAAGGGTTCCAGCTCCTAAGCATCCAAAGGATCCCACGCAGCCTGTCTCATCAGTGCTTACCCTACACCCTTCACTCCAGAGAGCTGTGACCTCTGAGCCCCCGGAAAGAAGGCTGTTAAAGACTAGGGGTTCTAGTTCTTGGCTATGTTGGGACAGACGAGCAGCGTGCGATGTTGATGTGGTAAAGGGTGGTGGTGCTCGAGGGGGTGGGGGCCTGCCCAAAGAATACACTCATTTACCATTTATAAAAACAAACAAACAAAAACAGAACTACCAATTTCCCCCTGTCTTTGAAAGCTGTTGTTTCCTCCAGGGAACATTTTTATTTGTACATGAGTAAAATGTGCTCTCTTAATGAATTGAAAGCAGAACCTGAGAGTTTTTCTGTCTCTGTGCCCGTTTCTGGGGCTTTGAACTCAGGGCCTGGGCACTGGCACTGTCCGTTTGCTTTTTCACTCAAGGCTGGTGATCTACCATTGGAGTCACAGTTCCACTTCCAGCTTTTTGGTGGTTAATTAAAGATCAGAGTCTTAGGGACTTTCCTGCCTGAACTGACTCTGAACTGTAATTCTCAGATCTCAGCCTTCTGGGTAGCTAGGATTATAGGTATGAGCCACTGGCACCTGGCTTCATTGACTTTCAGTAGCCAACACCTTTACCGTCTTTCACCCCAAACTTGTCCTCCTGTCCCCTCTTACCATCCAAGTAGAAAGCTGACCCTAACTCTGGAGCTATGGCTGAGAGTTGGCCTTGCTCAGGCTGCATAGGAAGCCTGGGCTGCAGGAAACAGCATGGCTCTCCTGTGAAGAGCAAGGAGGGGTTAGGGGTGAGGGTCTTGGATAGAGGAACAGGTGTGTTCTGAGAGAGCTTGTTGGCTGCCATTTCTTGCTGGCTTGGACAAGAGTTGAAAGCTGGAGGAAGGGATTTACAGACTTAGTTTGACAGGTGGATGGCTGCCTTTCCTCCATAATCTAAGATATCTTCCTGTTGGTCTTCGAGACAAAGCCTGGTTTTCTGGAACACCTGTTCTCTGCTTTTGATTGTCTGGGTTGTTTTCTTTCTGGATCAGATGAAGGTTTGTTTAGAACACTCAGCAGCTTGTTTCTCCCCTCTTCGCCCCGTCTGCTTCATGCTAGAGGGTGTGGATGGCTTCCCCACTTTCACTTCCAACTGTTGGTTTGGGGACAACAGCCGTGGTTTGCGTGTGTTGCCAATTCTGGCCTTAGGTTCTCAGGTGTGTCTCTTCCAGCCTTGGTTGAGGTAGCACGGATTGGTCTTCAGCAGTGTCTTAGGCCATGAAGTCAACCTGAATGGCCTAGAACTGCTTTTCTCTCTTCAGATGGAGTCATTGCATCAGCATCCTGTTCCCACCCTAGGGGTCCTGGGAGACATCCCTGTAAGTCTGGGTAGAGGAGGCGTCTAGGGGGAAAAGGTGGTGGTGGTCTCGGCTTCCATGCTCATGGAGCCATGCCGCGTGTACCGGCAGGAAGACCACTGCCGGAGCTGCTCCTGGCTGAGGCAGCCCAAGTCCTTGAAGAGCTTGAAGAGGTCATTTCGGAACTTGACCCCGATGAATGCGTACAAGAAGGGATTGACGCAGCAGCGGACACAGGCCAGGCTGTAGGTGATGTCGTAAGCGATGTTGAGCTGCTTGCTGAGCGCGCAGCTGCTTTTGGTGATGTTGAAGTCGGCCACCGTCTGAGCCAGGACCACGCCGTTGTAAGGCAGCTGGAAGACGATAAAGACCACCACCACGGCGATGATCACTTTGATAGCCTTGTTCCGTTCAAAGTTGCGAGCCTGGAGCAGGGTGCGAATGATGACAAGGTAGCAGAAGCTCATGGCTAGGAGGGGTACCACAAAGCCCATCACCATCTGGGCCACCCGGATGATGATCAAGGCCTCCATGTACTCTGTGATGAGCGAGCATCTCCAGGCATGCTCGCTGTTGCTCTTCTGCAGGTTGCTGTAGACCAGCTCTGGGATGGAGAGCAACAGGGCCAGGAGCCAGATACCCACGCAGGACAGCTTGCTGATGAGAAGCACCCGGGCACGGTGGCGGTGAGCAGACACGGCCTGGACGATGGCCACGTAGCGGTCTATGCTGATGCAGAGAAGCAGCAGCATGCCGCTGAAGAAGCTTACTTTGTAGATGCCGAAGATGCTCTTGCAAAAGTAGACGCCAAAGATCCAGGATTTGGCTGCGCTGTAGGCCCAGAAGGGGAGGGCCAGGAGGGAGAGCATGTCTGCCAAAGCGAGATTAAGCAGGTACATATCGGTCATGGTCTTGAGTCTCTTGAAATAGATGTAGGTCAACACCACCAACCCATTGCCCACAAGGCCTAGGAAGCAAATGACCGAGTACATGATAGGTAGGAACCAGGCCTTAAAGTTTCTAACATCTTTCTTGGAGCACAGAGACTCATACACGGTATAATCCACAGTGGTGTTGTCTCCGATATAATCGTCTGTGGACTCATCTTGGCACAGGCACACCTGTGAGGGGAAGAAACCAAGAGGGGGAAAAAAAAATAAAAGAATCCAGTTGAGCTTAGTGGGTTTGAATCCAGCTGGGAGTTAAGCAAGAGCAGCACTGTCAAGGGTGGTCCTCATCATCAGCATCATTGTCAACCTTACCCTGGGAAATCTGCTAGAAATGCAGATTCTCTCACCTGACTCGTGGGGGAAGGTGGGGAGCAGGGGGGGAGGGGATGGGATCTCTGTGGTTTCTAAACTTTCTGTGGGTTCTTCGGTTTGAAATGTGTACCTCTCGGATTATAGCACGCCTATGGATTCACCTGGATCTTGTTGAAGTTCACATCTGGATTCCAGAGGCTGGGGCAGGGCCTGAAACTCTATGCATTTCCCAGAATCATTAGCAAGGACCTGATTTGGCCAAGTCTGAGATATTTGACCTTAAATGGACTGATGATGGACTGGGGAATAGTCTGGACTTTGGGGTTTGATGCAGCTTGAGCTTGTTAAATATACTTCCTTTCCCCCAAACCTCAGTTCTTTTTTAAAAAAAAATTTCTTTTATTGGAAAGGCGATGTATAGAGGGGTGGCAGTTACATAAGTCAGGTATTGAGTACATTGCTTTTTTTGAACAGTGTCACTTCCCCCCTCGGTTTTCTCCCAGTTTTTTTCCCTCCCGACTCTCCCCGTCCCCCAAGTTGTAAGGTTCATTTTAACCATAGTGTCTAGTGAAGACCACTGACTGCCGAGTTAGTTCATCCTTTGCCTCAACATTTCTGTGCTTCCCCTTCTGCTCCCCAAGTCACATACAAAGGTACAGAAATCAAAAACAGTGACAAAAGGGAAAAGCAGAAAAAAAAAAGAAGAAAAACTAAACCACAGAAAGTAAAATAAAAACCCTTCTTGTTTCCATTTCTTGGAGCTCATTCTGATAAGCATCATTTTAGATGATCATATGCACATAGCTATTGAGCCCTTGTGATCCTTTCCTAAGAATATCCTCCTGTGGTCTCACTCTGTGAATAGAGTCCTGTTTAATTGATCACATCCAGGCATATTTTTTTTTTTTTTTGTCTTTTACTATCCGTTGGGTTTACGTGTAGATTTATAGTCCAAGCCTAGTTTACCTGTCTGTTACAGACTGGTGAGTCTTTATCTCTTTCGCACAGTTGTTGGGAGGTACCTAGCCAGCTTACGGTTCCTTGTCATTTCCATTGACGCTTGGAAATTTGTCAAGTAGGCAATGTTTGTCTGTGTGTCTCCCTTCTATCTAGAGTCTGGGTGGACTTGAACTGCTTCAGCTGTGTGTGTGTGTGTGTGTGTGTGTGTGTGGTGTGGCCTCAGCTGCAGCCTCATTGTGTGGGCAGCTGTACCCCTGGAAGGAAAGAAGCGTGGCTCTCTCCTTCTGTGCTACCTCCCATCCTCTCCCCCCACACCTCTGTGCCTCTCTCTTCTGGCAGATCCCAATCAGCAGGGCTCAGCTGCTTTGGGCTTTTTTTAGCCTGTCTGCCTGCCTGGTGGTGAGAGTTCAGCAGCTTGCTGTGATTTTATCAATGGAGGGGGCCTGCCTGCTTATGTCTCCACACAATGATCGATGGGCCTGCTGGGCTCTGCTGGGCTAGGACCTGGGCTGGCCCCACTCTGAAGCCTCATGGTTCCTCCTCTGGGAACGGGACTCTTAACAGTTCAATGATCATCCAGATCATGCATCATCATGTCTGGCTTGGGGACAGGGAGAGGACTAAATGGGATCCAGGAGTCATTTCTTCAGGCATTGCTAGTTTGGTAAATCAACCTAGCAGCCCCCTTTCCTCTTCCCTGGGCATGGCTGCAGCCTGGGAGTCTAGAAGAGGCTAGCTCACTGGTGGCAAGGTCAAGGCCTTGGGTCTGGGGGCTTCTGAGCCTTCCTGATGGGCAATCCTCCCAGCCTGTGATGTGTGCTCCCCCACCCAGTGTGCCTTCTCTCCTCCTGCTCCCAGCCTTGTTCCTGCTCCGCCCCCTCCCCAGCCTTGATGCTCCTGCAGCCCACAGCCCTACCACATCCGGCCCTGTCTGAATCCCCCTCCCCCCAAGTGAAAGAGAAGAATGAGCCGCAGCTGTCTTCACCCCCTCCCCAGTCTCCCAGCCAGCAGTACAGAAGGGGAGGGAGTAGTGACAGGGAAGGGGGCCAGGCAGAGGGCTGCAGCCATGGCTGGGAGGGGGGGGAAGTGGGGGGAGGGAGGAGTGGGCTCTGGAATGGGGTTTTGGGAAGATGGCCCAGCTTGGGGCCTGCTTCTGGCCTGATCTCCTGGAAAGCTGCCCTTCTGGCCTTGAGATGAAGAGAAAGAGCCAAATTCTGAAGCATGGCCTTTCCAGGCTGGCCTTGGCCATCTCCCTCCACCCCACTCCCACCCCCCAGCCCGGGAGAGGCCCACCCTGACTAACAAGAGGAAACTTGACTCTGAGAGTTACAGTTTCCTTTGACTCTGGCACTGGTACTTTCTAGAGCTGAGACATGGAACCGTGTGAGTTGAGGAATCTTTGCTTCTGCAGAGTTCAGGCCCCTGACAGAGTGTGCACTCTCTGGACCATTGCTTTCCCCCGTGTCCCAAGCCCCTTCCTTCCTCCCACCCCTGGCCCCCCAGCCCCCCCCAGGACACTAGCTGGGTCTCAGTTCATGAAAGAGAACAGGGATGAGGATGAAGGATAGGTGACAGGATAGTAACCAGGTCACCAGACCACTGAGAACTAAGAACTTTTTCTCAGTTTGTAGGTGGCATTTCACATGTGGGTTCCTCCCCCCACCCCCTCCATATTGATAAAAGCAAAGCAAAACAAAACCAAAAAAACAACAACAAAACCCAACAACAACCAGGTTCCCTGGCAGGCTTCAGCAGGGGGGGGGAAGGGGGGCTGGAACAGGGGTGGAAAAAGTAATCCTAAGTCCCCAGCCTCCTCCTGTTTGAACTTAAAGGAGGTCAGAGAAGTCTAGGAACAGCTGTGCCTTTCCAAGGTCACTCCACAAATGGAGAGGGTCTGGCCATCAGCTTCATGAATGGCAGCCCGATGTGTGTCTAGAGTCTTGGCTTTCCCACCCGCTCCTCCATCAGTATCTACGGCTTGGAGTGGGGTGGGGTGGGATGGGGGCACAAGAGGGAACTGAGTTGCCCTTGTGATAGGAACCTCACCTGGAAGATGACGAGGAGCGCCACCACCAGCACGCTTTTCATGGGCTTCCCTGGAGGAGACAAGGCCAGGTTATTGCTTGGTAGACCCAACTCTTTTTTTCTTTTTTGTCATCATGGGGCTTGAACTCTGGGCCTGGGCACTGACTCTGAGCTCTTCAGCTCAAGGCAAGAGCTCTACCACTTGAGCCACAACACCACTTCCACTTTTTCTGGTGGTTAATTGGAGATGAGAGTCCTGCCCAGCCTAGCTTTGAACTGGGATCCTCAGATCTCAGCCTCCCGAGTAGCTAGGATTATAGGCATGAGCCACCACTGGCAGACCCAATTCTTCCTTATTAAAAAAAGCAATGAGGGGTGGGGTGGGGAGGGGATAGGGGGAATGAGGGAGATGCTTGGGAGCTTTCATCCCAAGCTGTGGGAACCACCAGTTTGCTGAGACAGAACATCAGAACCAGATTGTGCCTTTGAACACTTGGCCAGCTGCCTGGTATTCCTGTCCTCACCTTCTTCAATGGTTATCATCATCTTCCTCCATTCCCATGTCCCAGAAAGAAATAGGGATCAGAATGTGAGCTGCTTCTCCCCTAACCCCTGCCCTGGATCATCTGAACTTCCTCTGGCTTGGAGGGTTTGCTGACAGCCCACTTTGGCCCTCAACTGACTATAGAAGGTCTGAATGTTCCTCCAGTTCTGTGTGATGCTGGGAAAGAAGGCAAGACACCCCAGTGGGGGTGGGGGGCATCCCCACCTACCTTAGGGCCAGGAACCTTGGGCTTCATACTAATGGAGGATCTTCTACCTGCCCCCACCCCCACCCCAGTGGGCTGAGCAAACAGGGATAGAGAGTTTCAGAGGGCTGGGTCGAAGAGTGAGATTACTTGGTGGTCTTTTTATTATTTTTTTTTGCCAGTCCTGGGGCTCAAACTCTGGGCTTGGCTATCCTTGAGCTCCAATGTGCTCAAAGCTAGCACTCTACCACTTGAGCCACAGGCCCACTTCTGGTTTTTTTTTTTTTTTTTCTGTGATTCATCGGAGATGAATCTCATGGACTTTCTTGCACAGGCTTTGAACCTTGATCCTCAGATCTCTGCTTCCTGAGTAGCTAGAATTACAGGCATGAGCCGTGGGTGCCCATCTACTTACTGGTCCTTCAACCATGACAGTGCTTTGGGGATCCACTGTCCCCCTAAGACCTCTTTTGTGTCACTCATGGACACTCATTCAGCACTGTCTGTTGATCCCCTGGCCCACCCTTCTGCTTGCCTCTGGGGAAGGGACCCCTTTTCTTGTGCAGGCCCAGAATCAAGGACTTGCCCAAGAATTGTGCGCTTTTGGGTTCCCTTTTCCAACGCAGCCAGAGAAAATGCTGAGTGTGGTGTGTGGCTGCTGGTCTCTGATATCCCACCCTCCTTTTGTCTCATAACTGAAGTGTGTGTGTTGATATCCTCTCCTTTAAGTTATTTTCTACTTCTGGGCTTTGGGTGGAAGGCCAAAAGGACTGGCTTTAGGGAAGGGACATATTCTAGAAGTCAGGAGGATCCCCTTTGGTTCTGAGCTGCAGATGGAGACCCAGGGTTAACGCAAGGTTTGCCTGAGCTGTAGATAGCTGCTCAGCTCTGCCCATCTGACAGCAGACAGAGTGATTTGTGTAGAAGTCTTATCCTACCTCCCAGTCTGGAAACATCCCCTGGGGAACCAGCTATACCTTCTTGGCATTTATAAAACCCTCCCTGTCCTCTGAGCCTCAGTTCCCAGCCACAAGAGAGTCAGTTCTTTTGGATGGCACATGCGAATGCAAAGGCCCATCATAGCTCCAGTGTTGGTTAGTAGGGAGTGGAATTGCTCCAGGCCATCTTCTGGAGGCTGGGGCCCCCTGGAGGCAGGGATTCAGCAGAAGCCTAGCATTTCTATGTGCTAGGTCATAGTACCACCTGCTGGAATCCAAACAGCATAACACCTAGAGTGTAGCATTTAAAAGGCTCCAGATTGAATTGCTTGAGGCTGAAATTCTGGGCTTGGGTCTTCCTAGGGCATCAGGCAGCCACCCAGAAAAATTCTTGTTTCTTTCTGCCTCAACCATATTATCCTGCACGCTAATGTTAAGCATGCCTTCATAAACCATAGCTCTGATATCAACCCTCCATTGTACCAGGCCCTACCCAGCACCTTGAAGGAAGAAGCCCCTTAAGATTGGCATGGGGATCCAGTCCTCCAAGGGTACTTGTACCTGCTTTTCCAGCATCTCCTGTCTCTGGGCAATGGATGCTCAGCTCAGCATCCCCCTCCCACCTCTGCAGCATTTGCAAATCCGTTGGGAATGGACCACTGCCCTGTGTAGCTTCATCTGGCTCCCTTCTCTGGCCCCTTTCTTACTCCCCATTTCCTCTTAAACCCCTGAGCATGAGGTCACGTATCTGTACTTAACCACACTTTCTTCAGGGTCCAATGCAACCTACTCTTCCCTGACTCATCTCGGGGCTCAGTGTTCGAGGTTTCTTTCCACACATCAGATCTTTCAGTTACTCCAGAGAAAGCTTATTCTGACTGTCCCTGAGAATGAGAAACCTCAGAGTTTTGAGAAGCTGTAATAGGTGACATATAAAGAGCAAAAACTGTTTCTATTTTATTTTTTCCACTTCATCTCCCCTGGGCCCTGCTCTCATTCTTTTTGCTATTGTTGCAAGGAAGGGGAACCTAGGGGAAATGTGTGTGTGCAAATGTGTGTGTGAGTGAATGTGTGTGTGTGTGAGTTCTATTCCAGATGTGTTGGACATGAAGGATGAGCGGGTCCAAAGCAGGCCATTTTCAAGACAGATAACAGGGAAACTTGGGGGAATTCTGGTGTGTATGTCAAAGGGACTCAGCCAGTGGCCATGAGTCAGATCATGCTTGTCTGTTACAAAGTCATAAAGCAACTAGTCTTGGGCAGCAGCTTGGGTAGGACCAATGATGTTGAGCTTCTTTGGGGTTGAAGAGTGGTTGCCCTATGCATTGGGTATTTTCTACATTCTTGAGTTTACAGTAACGTCCACCATGAAAAGAAAATTCCCTAGAACTCCAACATGAAGCTGGGCACTGGTGGCTCATTCCTGTAATCCTAGCTACTCACGGAGGCTGAGATTTGAAGATTGTGGTTGAAAGCCAGCTGGGGCAGGAAAGTCCAGGAAACTCTGATTTTCAATTAACCAGCCCAAGTCCAGAAGTGGAGTTGTGGTAGGCCACCAACCTTGAGTGAAAAAGCTAAGGGACAGCTCCTAAGTTCTGAGTTCAAGCCCCAGTACCAACACACACACACACACACACACACACACACACACACACACACACACACACACACACACACACACACACACACACACACCTGAGCCCCCAGCTAGTGTCACCTCCCTCCCAGGAAGAGAGGATTGCTCTCATTGGTTTGTGACACCTCTAAGCCCAGAGCTTCCTTTGGGGATATTTTCCCAGGCCCTGCAGGCTGGCCAGGAAGTCATGGCCACCTACCTGTCAGCTAATCCAGGGAGCTGCCCTTAGCCTTGTCCTTTCTGGGTTTTCTTACCCAGGAACACCACGTGGCTCTTTTTGGGTATGGAGAGAGGGAGCAGGCTGAGGTGGGAAGGTGGTATAGGCTCTGGGGAGAAGATGAGAGGCCTGAGGGACCGCCCCCCTCCCCAGTCAGACATTTGGTAGGAAGGCACAGACTATTTGGGTCTTATAGTGCTAGGATAAGCCACTGCTTTATCCAGTGATGAAACTGGTGTTTACGAGCTCTCTGGACCGAACTGTCCATACGTCTGACTTCATTTTCTCCTCACATATGCCCTGTGAAGTGGGTAACACCATTATCCCCATCTAGTAATGAGGAGACTGCATGGAGTACAGTAAGATTAGTAAACTCTCCAGCGTTATTTGATTAGGCTATCAGTAGAGCTGGGTTTTGAATGATTTGGTTTTGTTTTTGGTATTAGGGCTTGAGTTCAGGGGTCTCGTATTCCTCCTTGGACTTTTTTGCTCAAGATTGGCACTCTACCACATGAGCCACCCCTCCACCTTCAGCTTTTTGCTGGTTAACTGGAGAGAAGAGTCTCACAGACTTTCCTGCCCGGGCTGGCTTTGAACTGTGATCCGCAGATCTCAGCCTCCTGAGTAGCTAGGATGACAGGCGTGAAGTTGTCTCTTAAAGCCACATTTTAAATTATTCTTTTGTGCGGCTCCCTTGTAGCATCTTGTAAGCTACCCCTTGGGACTCATTCAGTGGTCCATAGAACTGAGGCCCAGACATAATCAAGCCACTGGTCTGGGTCATAGTGCTGCTCAGAGATGGATTTGAGATTGAATAAAACAGCCAGACTGGCTACATTTCTGAGTCTGGCATTGGTGTGTGTGTGTGTGTGTGTGTGTGTGTGTGTGTGTGTGAGAGAGAGAGAGAGAGAGAGAGAGAGAGAGAGAGAGAGCGCCCCATGCAGTATGAACGTAGCCTCCTACTCCCTCACTCCCTTCTCCCACTGGATACTCACTTCTGTGGATTCCCTTTTCCAGGTTCTCAGAGCTAGCCCTGCCTCTGCACCGACATAAGGCTTTGCTGCCCCTTGGCTCCTTCCAGAAGCACCAATCTCATCCTTTAACTCACCTACTTGGAAAGCAGACGCCTTCCCTGGATCCCCCATGACTGCCAGGATGGAGTATGGATTCCTCTATGGTATCACAGCCCCATTTGAAATGGTTGACCTGACCCCAGCCTCCAACTGCATTTTCCTACCACCCTCCTTGGCCTGGTTGCTGCTTTCCACTCTCCTCAATTTGCTGCTTTCTCAACTCTTACCCTATTTGCCAGAGACTGAGTTCCCAGGCTATGGGCATGGCTACATGGAGTTGGAGGTGGTGGTTATTATTATTGCCTTTGGATGTTGTTAGATTCCCTCTCTTTCACCTTATTCCCTCTACTTCTTATGTCTGGTGCTCCCGCTCTTATTTTCCTGCTGACTTCTGATGGAACAGTTGAGTTTGATGTACCTTCCACATCCTGGACCCCCTCCCTTGCTCTTCTTCATTTGTTTGAAACAACTCCTACACACCCTTCAAAACCTTGCTTCAATGTTTTCCTGACTTATACATTCACAATCCTCTTGTCTTTCTCTTCTCCTTGATGCTGTAACTCAGGTGTCACAGCAGGTAACTGACATGTATTTCTCCTCCCACCAGACTGGTCATCCCTGAATTTCTGTATCAACCATACAGGAAGCTCAAAGGAAGCCCCAACCCATGGGGAGAAATGTTTCATAACCACCCCAGGCTGCAGTGTCTCTCTCTTCCACAGCCACACTGGCTGGAAGTACAGGAGAAATCAACCCTGGCCAGACCCACGTCTCTCCCAGGTTCCCTTTTTCTTTTCTCTGCTGTTTGAGGATCCTAATGGAGCTGGCTGGTTTCATTTCTGGAAGGTGGCAAGGACACCTCTGGGCAGCTCATTCAAATCATGACAAAGACCAGCTCAGCTCTGCTCTGGAGTTTTCACTTTGTGTAACAGAAGCCCTGCCTCCTCACCCGGCTCTGGCTCCCTGCAGGGCAGATGAAAACAGAAAAACAGAGTTTTCGTGGCCCACCCGTCCTTCAACCGCCCAGAGCCCGTTTTGAGCAAGACCTCTTGGTGGCTCGTTTTGCTACCAGTATTTCAGATTTGGCCGTTGGGGCTCTCTCAAGTTGAGTGAATTCGTGAGAACCTCTCTTCCTCCAGGACCAGTGGTTACCTATCTCTTTGTAACAACTCCCAGAAGTCTAACACCCCAACCTAGTTCAGAGGAGACACTCTTATGTATGCGAGAAACAAGCTGGGGTGGTGGTGGTGGTGGTGGTGGTGGTGGTGGTGGTGATACCACCCTTCCATTTGGGTTAAGGCATACACATGGATGGCTTGAACTCAGATGATGGCTGAAGTCATCCAAGGCTGGAGAATTTACACTGAGAAAAGTGGCAATGTGCTACACATTCGGAGCCCTCTCTTCGCTCTGGAAACCAATCCAAGAGTCAATATAGTGAGGCCACACCACAGAAGGTCTGCAGGGGTTGGTGTGGCCATTCTGGGGCTGGATATGAGCGGGAATGGATAGATACCTGGAGAGAGGGCTAGGAGAGCAGGCTACCTGAGCAAAGATGCTGGGAGAGATTTCTAAACTGCAGTCTACATGAAGTGATTGATACCTCTTCTTTCCTGCCTTCCATTCATCCATCTCTCCATCCCTCCTTCAATCCCTTCCTTCCTTCCTTCCTCCCTCTATCCCTCCCTCCCTTCCTTCCTTCTCTTCATCTCCTTCAATTCCTTCCTTCCTTCCTTCCTTCTTTCCTTCCTTCCTTCCTTCCTTCCTTCCTTCCTTCCTTCCTTCCTTCCTTCCTTCCTTTCTTCTCTCCATCCCTCCTTCAATTTCTTCTATCCATCTATCTCTCCATCTCCTTCAATTCCTTCCATCTCTTCATCTCTCCTTCAATTCCTTCCTTCCCTCACTCCCTCCTTTCCTCTTTCTTCCTTCCTTTCTATACACATTTCCCAACACATACCCCCAAACTCCTGAGAGAATCAAGAATCAGACCCCGCCTCCCACAAGTCATAGTCTGTGGGTAAGTGACCCCTTTATCTCTTTCAGTGAACAGCTCTTCTCAGCATCCAGAACCAGGCTTCAGGGTAGGCGGGGAAGAAAGAGGGGGGGGAGGGAGAGAGGGAGAGAGAGAGAGGGAGAGAGGGAGGGAGGCAAGCGCTGTGGTATGACAGGGAGGGATATGAGGGCAACCCAGAGAACCTTCACTTTTTAAAGCCACCCCCCACCCCTTGTGGCTTTGAGGCTGCCTGCCGTGGCGCTTCGCTTGTGAGTGAGCTGAGCCATCTAGGAACCTGGCCTTCTTAGCCTCAGCTGGGTGTGACTCTGCAGCTGAGATTCATAACTGGGGTGTCTGAAGCTGGATGACCCACTCAGCACCCCTCAGGACTCCCTTCACATCCTCTCTAGCTGAGACTGTGGTTAGACCAGAGGAAGGACTTTTTTTTTCTTTCTTTCTTTTTTTTGTTAATAGAGAGGAGTTGGTCCTTGGTTGAAGTATATGCAGTTTACCCAGGGGTTGGCTGTGTCTTCTCCAAGCTGAATGCCCCTGGCCATCCCATGACACCCATCCCTTAGCTTGCAAGAGGCAACCGATAATGGGTACCAAATCGGTGGTGGGATGTGCCCCAGGGAGAAAGCAAGCCCCGCTGACTACACAGCAAGGCATCGTTCGCACAACCCTGACATCTGCAGCGTGCTCCTTCCCATAACTCTGGGAGGACAGGGATGGGAACCCCTCCTTAGACTAGAAGGAACCAGATCAGGACCAGAGGTCCCGAGCACCCCCCCCAAGGGCCTCATCCATCACTCCAAGATGGTCCTTACATTCATTCAGAAAGACACTCCCTTTTCCTGCCCTCTTGTCCTGCTTGGCATTTTCTAGGAGCAGCTACCAATTCTCACCAAAGGCCTCCCAATTCCTCCCTAAGGCTCTTACCAAGCCTCCCCCCTCCACCATCTCCATCCCACCCACCCCATACCCCAAGTCTGTTCCTTCTCACTCACCGAGGTCCATGACACACTCCGGGGGCAGCTGAAACCACACAGGAAGGTTGGGCCCGAGCCTCTGTCTCAAGCTACCCCTGTCTGGGGAGGAAGTGGTTCAAGCCCCTTTTAAGTTCTGAGAGGATCCGCCCTCCTCCCTGCCCCTCCCACCTTGCTCCTCCCCCAGGCCTGGTTGCATCCCTCCTGGGGGCCCCCTGAGACCAAGGGTTTTGAGAGCAGTGCTCAAGTGAAAGCCCCATGGCCTGTCATAGGACCTTGAATCACTGTTGGGTCCTTTACCACTGAAAACCCCTCCGAGCCTCCTGGCAAAGCCGAGGTGAGGGGCGGTGGATGGATCTGACACATGTTTGTAGCAAGAATGTCACATGCTAGGCTGTAGGTGGAGGCAGGGGTGTCAGCGGGATGTACCCTCAGCCTTCCTTTTTTAAATCTGTTTCCGTTAGATTTTGGCCAACCTGGGGTTGGAGGGCCGGGTGCTTTCTAGGCAGGCGCTGGACCATTGAGCGATATCTCTAGCTCCTTTCCCTTTGTTTTGATGAAACTCTTTCAAAGAGTCTCAGCTGAGTATCAACTCAGTCCCTAGCTGCTATGCGGGCAGCCACCAGAGGTGATAGAGAAGAGGGGGTACCCGAGAGGCCCACCTGTGGGTACCACCTGTGTGAGATGCCCCGGAGGGACGCATCAACAGTAAGGGCTAGGATGACAGGCAAGACCTTGGTGACACAACCACAAAGTGAAAGTTTTAGTAGTTATGGTTCCTGGGGGCGGGGACAGGGAGAAACACAAGCCAAGAGCAGGACACCCCCCAACCAGGGGGTCAGGGATCTAAGGCCCCGCCTGACAAGGGACCTGAGAGCCACGACTTTATCTTTCCAGAAATTATTATTATTTTTATTATTGAGTTATGAGTTCATTATTATTTTGGATAAAATCTCTTAATATATGTCTATAATATATACAAATCTATACATATATGTATAGATTTATAATATATATACATCTATATATATTATATTTGTAAATAGTTTCTCCCATTCTGTGGATCTTTTTATTTCCCCTGTGGATCTCTTTTTGTTGTTATTTGTTGGTTTCCTTTGAAACACATCGTTAAGTATTGAAGTCCAATTTATTTATGATTCTTTTGGCATTTGTGCTTCTGGTGTTATGGGTAGGGAACTATTGCCCTATTCAAGTCTACAAAGATTTATTTCTATGTGTTCTTCTTGCTTTTTGCTTAAAAAAAATTAGTTTTAGTTCTTTCATTGAGGTCTGATCTATTTTGCATACGGTGTGAGGTAGAGGGTATCTACCTTCCTTCTTTGATGTACTTAGTTTTTCCTTGCTTCATTTGTTGAAAGGCTGTAATCTTTCTCTTATTGCACAACCTTGGGTATCTTTTAGAAAATTAACTGGTCAATGGTTTCTTTATGAACTTTCAATTCTATGCTGTAAGTCTATGTCACAGTCTATTGGTTATTGTAGCTTTGAAACTGGGATTTGTGACTGTTTCCGTTTTATTTATTTATTTATTTTTCACAGTTATTTGGCTAATCTTGGTTTTTCCATACGCATTTCAGGGTCTGATGATCAATTTTTGTAATGAAACCAGCTAGGATTGTGAAAGAGCTTACACGGGGTCAGTAGATCAGATTTGGGTATATTACCACTGTAGAAACATTAAGTTTTCTAGCTCATGAGATATAGTTTCGTCTATTGAAGTCTTCTTTAAATTTTTCAATGTTTTGTGGTTTTTAGTGTACAAGTCCTTTGCATTTTTTGTTAAATTTATTCCTAGGAAGGAAGAGGTGACATTATTCAAAAAGAAATGTGCTTATGACCTGACAAAAAATAATTTCTGGGCTAGGAAGGTGGCTCAGTGGTAGAGCACTTGCCTTGCAAGCATGAGGCCCTGGATTCAATTCCTCAGCACCACTGAAGCAAAAAGCAAAAAGCCGGAAGTGGCGCTGTGGCTCAAGTGGCAGAGTGCTAGCCTTGAGCTGAAGAGCTGAGGGACAGCACCCAGGCCAAGAGTTCAGGCCCACGACCGGACCCCTCCCCCCCCAAAAAAATCCTAAGTTTTTTGTTCTTTATTTGTGTACAAGGTTACAACAATGAAATTGTTCCTTACGTTTATTTTCAGATATCTCATTGCTAAAATATAGAAATACCATTGTTTTTTTCTTGTGTGTGTTTGTTGTGTGTGCGCATGTGTGTATGTGTGTGCATTTATCTTTACAGCCTTGTGTTTTCCCAATGTTAGGTACATACCGTTGGGCCCAGACATTGGTCAAGATGAAGCCTCACAAACTTTTCTGGGGGACCTGTATTGCCCACTAATTACACTCCCCCAAGCTCTGCCTCCCAGGTAGCTAGGATGGCAGGATTGAGCCACAATATCTGGCCCATTATATGCTTTATGAAAACAAGGTTGTAGTTGATACTTGCCTGGACTTTAAAAACAGATTGCCTAATATAATCTGGTATTTTTTGATCATTGGCTTTAGTTTACAGGGTATATCCTCCATCCCAGAAGGATTTCTCTCAGCTCATGTAAGACATATGTTACATCCCTAGGAAGAGAGTTTGGAGCCAGTTCATTGAGACAGATGCCCCATGCCAAAGCAGAAATACTGGAAGGAAGACTGGAATCAAAGCCTAGAGAGTCTGGAAAGCTGTGTTAGAAGCCTTCAAAGGAGAGTCCTCCAAATTCTTGTTCTTCAATTGGAGTGTCATGTACATACCAATGTATCTGTATAAAGGGCATGTCCATAAGAGGAGCCAAAACTATTGTACTTGCTTATATCTGGGGCATCTTTGGACCACTTGGCCTTTGGCCTTTCAAAAATGGAGTGCCTTATGGAAATAAGGGATGCTGGATACTGCATTACTAATAATCTGATGCTTTGTCAAGTTTTGATTGATTGATGGAGGGACTTCAACCTTTTCTTAAGATGCCATCCTTCTTTCTACTCCTTTCTTGGGAATGTCCTTTCCTTTCGTTTCCTTTCGTTTCCTTTTCTTTCCCTTCCCTTGCCTTCCCCCCCCCCTTCAATTTCCTTCTTATCAATTTACTTTATTGGCAATTTCTTCAGTCAGATGCTCGTTCTAGCAGTAGCTGTCACAAACAGCACCCTGTTCCTAGGAAATGGACCCTGTTCTTCTTCCACAGTCATTCCGTTGATTCGCTCAACAAATAGTTAATGAGCACTTATGTGCCAAGCATGTTGCTAAAACCTACAGATCCACAGATGGACATGTGTAGCCCCTGTCCCTGCCACTTGTCTGGAAATGTATGGGGACCAATTCATGTGTTAGGGCTACTGTAACAAAATGTCACAGGCTGAGAGACTGCAACAACAGAAATAGATTTCTGTCCCCTGAAAGTCACGCATCTAGATGTGGCAGGGTCAGCAAGGGCTCATGCACGGATCCCACTGAACTGGGCCTGTCCTTTTACAATTTCATTGAGCCCCAATTACTTCCTCAGAGGCCCCATTTTCAAATGGAGGCATTTTAAGGATTGAGGCTTCAATATATGAATTTGTGGATGGAGAAACCCAAATGATTAGTCCATAAGAGCACAGAAGAGTGATCATTATCCATAAGCAGTCTGGGTGAAAGACCAAAGACGCACAAGAGTGCATACCTTAAGTTCAGGATGAAGATAGAAAGTCATACAATACAAAAGGGTACCTAGGAGCTTTAATTCATTAGCCTATTCATTAGCATGCTCTGTTTGTTATGGACAAAGGTCTTCACTGGATAATCCTTGATTACTTTAGGTGTTAAATGTTTCATAACCTTTAAAGAACAATGGAATACACAACTATACCACAATGTATTAAGGACTAACTTGGAAACAAGCCCACAGTGCAATAGGAGTAGTAGTAGGAGGGATGTAGGAAGGCCATAGGAAGGCAGTGTCTAAGGGGACAGGAATGGCCTAGGTGCAGGGAGGAGGTAGAGGTGAGTGGCTGGCCTGTCAGGGTCAGAAGTCTCCCCTGTTCTCCAGCAGGTTGCTCACTCTGGAATCACTTTGCTTGGCAATGCCGAGCACAGGGAGCTGGAGACTGTTTAACTTGGTCTTCAGTCAGGAGTGATGTGGCTTATGGGCCTGATTTCTGGCTTTAAAAAACAATTATTAACTAATTGATGAGTTAATTATATTTTGGTGCTGGGCACAGGTGGCTCATGTCTGTAATCCTAGCTACTCAGGAGGCTGAGATGTGAGGATCACGGTTCAAAGCCAGCCTGGTCAGGAAAGTCTGTGAGACTCTTATGTCTAATTAATTACCAGAAAAACTGGAAGTGGCACTGTGGCTCAAGTGGTAGAGCACTCGCCTTGAGCTGAAGAGCTCAGAGACAGCGCCCAGGCCCAGAGTTCAAGCCCCATGACCAATATATATATATATATATATATATATATATATATATATATATATATATATATATACAGGTGGTACTGGGGTTTGAACTCAGGACCTGTGTCTTCCTAGGCTGATACTTTACCACTTGAGCCATGCCTCCAATCCTGCTTTTTAATGGCTTGGGATGGTCTGGAAGCATGATCCTTCAAATCTCAGCTTCCTGAGTGGCTCAGATTATAGGCATAAGCCACCAGCATACAGCTAAGTTTCTGACCTTTGTTCCTTGCTCAATGGCTAGATTGTGTTTGACACATGAAATACCTTACATGTTTGCCATGTCTTTGAAATGAGGTTTTCTGCTGCTGTGGTGTATGGGACAAGTGGCATAAAAAGCCTTAAAAACTGTTGATTCTGGGGCTGGGAAGGTGGCTCAGTGGTGGAGTGCTTGCCTTGCATGCATGAGGGCCTAGGTTCGATTCCTCAGCACCACATAAGCAGAAAAAGCCGAAAGTGGTACTGTGGCTCAAGTGGTAGAGTGCTCGCCTTGAGCTGAAGAGCTGAGGGACAGCGCCCAGGCCCAGAGTTCAGGCCCCCCAAAAAAGACTGACCAAAAAAAATTGCTGATTCTTCCCTCGTTTGCATGTGTGTCCATGTATTCACTCATCCATCCAGCATCTAATTACTGAACAACATCAGGCCAGGAGCTC